TCGTCAGTAAAATCAACTCCCATCAGAACTTTCAGTACTTTAATTATGCATGCATGCAAATACAAGTTGTCTTCCTTACGCTACCAAGTGAATGTGGAGGAAGCGAAGCGGGAACGACCACTTTCGCTTTGAATGGGGATTTCCGTCGTAGTCCAAGTCCGTGCCCAGGTATCTGGAGGCCGGTTTTAAACAGTTTCAAAATGTATGTACATGTATTTGGGGGGCAAGAAAAGTTTAATTTATCACTATATAAGTTGTATTTGTTAATTTTAAAGGCAGAAAATGTTTATAAATTTGTGCTTTTGAGAGCAAAGAACATCTTGACCTAATTTAAGCGAGGATTATTGTTTCGGGACGCCTATTTTAGTGCTATTCATGCTCTTAAGAAGTGACGCTACAGTTCAAAAAATACCCATTGCTGTGATTTTAAGCCTTGATTTTTTTTTAAGATATAGCCTCATAACCGCAACGGTAGAGAAACGCGCGTTTGCACACACCGCTGCAGTTATGAGACTATCTTTCAAAAAATGATGATTCATTGCTTATATTTACATTTTACTATCTACCCTGACCATGTTGACTATAAATGTTTATGATAATTTAAAAACCATGTATTATCCGCCTTTGTGTAAGCTAAAGTTATATTTAAATACAAAATAAGCCGGAGAAAAGAAGACTGAGGAATCGATTTAATTGACAAAGTAAGTAGAAATGTAGTTATTTTTCCATGGATTACTGTTTTTGATATAATTTACAATAAATTTTTGTTACCTTGAGCTCTTAATAAAAAGAAAAATCAACATAGCTTGTAGTTTCATCATCACACATGTTTCAACTTATTTCATTTAAAATTATAATGAAGTTTCTTAATGCTAGTATCATAGTAAATACTGTAATTTTTCATTTACTACTGTTAACATTAATATCAAGTTCAGATTCAGTTTATCCACCTTTGCTTGTAATAGGGTATACATTAATTACATTTATAAATATCAAATACTTAAGTCAGAGGTACATAGACCAAATATGCAACTTACTAAGCATTGGTATAAAGAGACATTACAAATTTTCTGTAATTTAACCGCGGGTTTATTAAATTTCCAACGCAATATTTTTTTGTTTATATAATACCATGAAATATTCGCAATTTATTTTGCGGGCCTGAAGGTATGAATTCATTCTACAATATAAGTGTTCCGCTTTGTTTAACCATTCAAATTATATGGGCTTAAAAGTCTTCTAATTGTTACAATCAGTCTCTAGTATGCGTTAATGCGAGATTTCCTTCCTGTTTAATACTCTGTATGCATTTCACACATGTGCATTTGGATGTAAAACAAATAGGAGCGACGATCCACTTTAATTAAGTGTGTGATACGGGATTAGAAACTACATAATGTACACAGTAAGATTTGAATCTAATGGTGTGTGCGATTTCTTTAGGAACAAGATGTGTTTGTAAAACACGGATACCCCCGTACGGCAGCTTATGTCGAGGGTTGAATTTTCTCAAAAACATGTCAAGCTTCTAAGGTCAAAGTCTAAAGGTCAAAATTGTTGGTCCCAAGGCACAATATAAATTATATATGTATTCACCAAAAAAAGTTTTTGTATAATTTGAAATTTACATTGCTAACAATTGTGTTGTTTTGTTTACCAATGTTATTTTCTTTTTACTGAGTGACAGTGCTTTCTCAAGCTATGCAACAGTGAAATTCTTACCATGACTTCACTAACCTTTTTTTGAAAGTGACAGTGTTTGATATCCTTTATAATAGCAGATTATCAAATATCTTCTTGTCTGATTTAAAGCAAATATGGCCTGTGCAATGTAAACACACACATGCAAGACTCGTTTTAAAAATATATCGTGTATAAAAGTAATAAAAATATTTTGAGAATTTTTAGCTCACCTGAGCCGAAGGCTCAAGTGAGCTTTTCTGATCACATTTTGTCCAGCGTCTGTCTGTCTAGCTGTCCATCTGTCTGTACACTTTTCACATTTACGACTTCTTCTCAAGAACCGCTTGGCCAATTTCAACCAAACTTGCCACAAAGTATCCAAAGGTAAAGGGGATTCAAATTTGTTCAAATGAAGGGCCACGCCCTCATTCAAGGGGAGATAATTGTGAATTTGTGAAAATTTGGTGGTATGTTTTAAAAATCTTCTTCTCAAGAACCACTGTGCCAGGAAAGATGAAACTTATGGGGAAACATCCTTGATGAAGGTAGTGTAAATTCAAGTTTGTTCAAATCATGAGCCCTGGGGGTAGGGCAGTGCCAAAATGGCTGATCAAATTTTTAAATAGAAATATGTAGGAAAATAATTTAAAAATCTTCTTCTCAAGAATAGCAGAGCCATAATTGATCATATTTATATGGAAGCATCCTCAGGTAGTGTAGATTCAAGTTTGTTCAAATCATGACCCCTAGGGGTAGGGCGGGGCCAAAATGGCCAATCAAAGTTTTACATAGAAATATGTAGGAAAATTCTTTAAAAATCTTCTTCTCAAGAATTACGAAGCTATAATTGATCATATTTATACAGAAGCATCCTCAGGTAGTGTAGATTCAAGTTTGTTCAAATCATGACCCCCGAGGGTAGGGCGGGGCCACAATGGCCAATCAAATTTTTTTCATAGAAATATACAGGAAAATAATTTAAAAATCTTCTTCTCAAGAATAGCAAAGCCATAATTGATCATATTTATATGGAAGCATCCTCAGGTAGTGTAGATTCAAGTTTGTTCAAATCATGACCCCCGGGGGTAAGGCGGGGCCACAACAATGGCCGATCAAAGTTTTACATAGAAATGTATATGAAAATTCCATAAAAGTTTTTTTTCTCAAGAATTACAAAGCTATAATTGATCATATCTATATGGAAGCATCCTCAGGTAGTGTAGATTCAAGTTTGTTCAAATCATGACCCCCGGAGGTAGGGCGGGGCCACAATGGCCGATCAAAGTTTTACATAGACATACATAAGAAAATTCTTTAAAAATCATCTTCTCAAGAACAGCAAAGCCATGATTAGTCATGTGACTACTTTTTGATTTAAACTATTCAATAATATACACATTTCGACTTTTCTAGCCACAATGCTCAGGTGAGCGATGTTGCCCATGGGCCTCTTGTCTGTTATGTAATTGCGTCCACGGAGATTTCCAGAGTCCCAGCATAAAGTGGTATTCTTAGCTGGTGCTCCGTGAGCTTCTACGACGTCATACTTTTTCCGAAGTTGATTTCTTTTCAAGGAACAAGAATATTAATTCATAATTTAGAATCTGAAACGATGTTAGTAACAATTTTTAGAATTAGAATATATGACTTTTGCCGCAATTTTACATAGGATTTTTACGTGTTGAATGCTGAAAAGGTATGCAGGGTGGCCGTGACGTCATATTTCATGGTTATCCCTGCTGATGAACTAGGGGTGGCTAAAAACCCGATAAACACCTGAAAATGTCATTAACGATATTTAGCTTTGATAAACCGATTTAACTTAAATGAGTTAAATTCTGTTATTAAAGACAAAACTTGCTTACTAGGGTGCCATATGAAATTAACTTAAAAAGGAAAAATATACACATATTTCAACTTTTTGTAATGGTTTATAGGTGGTTTTGGCCACTACTGCACTCATAACTGCTAGTACAAAAAAAAAACGGAAACAGTTCCAAGGTGAACCCTAGCAACAGATAATCACCAGAAAATTAGAATAATGATCATGTTCTTTGACGCTTTTGAATCAAAATTAATTGAAGCGTCCACGTGAGCGCTGCTGGTAAGCTGAATATCCGCCACTAGACTATGCAGCTTATGAACTACTTAACCAAAATGACTCATTTATTTGCTACCTATAGGGCCTGATAAACAAAAAAATGCTGTGAACACTTGATCACTCAGTGCCCAGCACAAATGGAAGCTAATAACAGTGTTGCTTTATTAGAGCATCACAACAAAGATAGTGTCACATCAACAATCAGTAAACACCAAACCACTAAATTGATCCCCTAAAAAATTTGCATCTCGTCATAAATCAGTGAACGTCATAACAAAATATTGAAAAGGAGCTAACATCTCCCATGAATTGTTCAAAACATGACCCCAGGGGTTGGATGGGGCCACAAAAGGCAATCAAAATTTTACATAGAAATATTTAGGGGAAAAACTTAAAAAGATTTCTTCGCAGGAACAACTGGGCCAGAAAATCTTAAACTTATGTGGAAGCATCCTTGGGTAGTGTAGATAGATTTTTAATTGTTCAAATCATGACCCCTGGAGGAAGGGCGGGGCCACAATAGGGAACCCAAGTTTTACATTGAAATATATAGGACTTTTTAAAAAAATCTCAAGAACCACGGGGCCAGAGACATTGAAACTTACATGAAAGCATCCTGGGGTGGTGTAAATTTTGAATTGTTCAAATCATGACCCCCTGGTGTAGGACGGGGCAACAATTTGGAATCAACGTGATCAAAGTTTTACATCGAACAATACATGATATATAGAAAAAAAAATCTTGAAAGATCTCAATAACTACCGAGCCAGAAAAGCTGAAAATTATGTGAAAACATACTGGGATAGTGTAGATTTTAAATTGTCTGAATTATGACCAGAAGGATACTTAGGATAGGATGGGGTCACAATATGTATTACAAAGGGGGTTTGGTAAAGAACGGCATGGCAAAAGCTAGGTGAGCGATGTCGCTCATGCTTATTGTTAGTCCTTTACACACTCAATTGACGAGAGATATATCCCAATCATGACAAGGAGCACACGGTGGGTGTTACTGGTCGACAGGGGATGCTTACTCCTCCATGGCACCTCATCCGACCACTGATGTTTTGTAGGTCCGTGTTTGCTCTGCTTCTGTTTTGTATTGTTTTATAGACTTTTGATCTTGAATACCATTTGTTATCCCATATGTTTCATTTGAAATTCTGGTTTAATTTAGTTTGCAGATTTTTGTCTGTATAGCCATGATAGAGAGATGATGACATGTACTGACGATGTGTTGCCTGTAAGTTGCTTTCCTTTAAATTTCAAATTTGTATCTGTGATTTAATCAATTAAAAATGTAAAGATTCTTTCATCATAAATTAACCTTAATTGTAGCAGTCGTAAATAACGCAAGTTTCACCAATTTAATTTTTCGATTTTATAGCTGCCAAACTATCCATTCAATGTGTACGAAGTTGAAGACTGCCCACCAAACAAAGACCAGTGGGAAATAGCCTCAGAAAGGCTTCATTGCAGTACAGACAACACCAACAAATACCGATACCACTGTTTACCAAACAGCAACCATACTAAACTTGTGGAATTTTGTTTAAATTCGACTAGATATGGCACCCCTCCAATAGGTACCTATGCATTAAGTTTACCGTTGAAAACAAATATATTAACTTTCAAAATGGGTTATCATGCATATATAGAATCTGAGATGTGTAGTCTTTTTATTTTGATTAGAAAATATTTTGTCTATGAAAAAGACGTACATGCTAATTTAAAACACAAAGAAACATCTGGGGGTTTTTAAAATTGAAAATTAAGCATTTATGAAATTCTTATTTTTTCAGATGGTGAATTTGATTGCTATGTACTGTCAGGAACAGGAGATCTGAATCGATATACTTGCATGAATGCATCTAATGGTTGTCCAGATAGTTTCTACTTTAGTGACGAAATTTACAAGTGTTAGTATACCTTTAAAAATTCAGTATACCTTTAAAAATTCACAGGTGTTAGTATGCATCTCTTTAAAATTAACAAGTGTTAGCAATTATACCTTTAAAACGTACAAGTGTTGGTATACATTAAAAACTTAACTCTTTTAAGATTTACAGATGTTAATATTCAAACCTTTAAGAATTACAAGTTTACATGTAGTATTCATACGTTTAAAATTTACAAGTGTTCAAATTTACAGGTGTTAGTATTCATGCCTTTCAATAATTGAAATTGAGCAGTCAAAATTTGTCATGGAAAAAAAATGAAATTAAATAATATTGTTTAACGGTTTTACTCATATCTTAAAAATGGTTTTAAGAAAACTGATTTTAATATGATAAATTCTTTACTAGATCCTGATTGTTTTCTGATAAACAAAACTTCGGATGGCGCCATCAGTACATGTACAGATAGCTCCGATAGGTAGGTTTTAATGTCATCAGTATCATATACGTTTTAAAATTGACTTGAAATTTAGAATTGTCTTCTAACGTCTCCAGATAAAAAACAAATTATTAGCATTCATAATTGATGGTTCATGTCATTTAAACTCATAGAATGAGATCTGACAAAATACTTTTATACATAGTATTCAAGTTTGATTAAGAGCATCCTCATAAAATATACCCGAAACTTTGCAAGCGAGTATTCTAAAAGACTATTATGCAAAATAGCAATTTTAGTAACATCACAACATGAATAAATATTCCCATTAATAGCTCTGCCAGCTGAAGTATCCATCTGCTTGCCTGTCATCATTTTTGGGTGTTGTTTTATGCATTTCCTGTAAACTTTTCATTTTTTACTCTCCTCAATGAAGTTGGGGGAGCTTGTGTGATACCCTCGGTGTGGTACGTTTGAAGTTTTTTGGAGCAGCTTTTTAACTACTATGTCCTATATTGATCTGACATGAATGGAAGATGCTTCTTGTGTGTTTCATTGTACCAGATTCAAATGCTGCAGTCTCATTTTCAAGTAACTTTGAACCCTATAATGACCAAACTTGCATGGATGATACATCTAAGAATGCATACAACCAGGCTTGCTCCGTATGCTGGATCTGACCTACTTTTTCTGGATGAGTGAACAGGTAAATGTTCATGGTGTGGGTCTCATTTCCAAGTATCTATGAGCACTATAATGACCAAACGTGCATGGATGATACATCTAGGAATGTATACTACCAGGCTTGCTTTGGATATTTCATCTTACATACCGGTACATTTTCTGGATGAGTGAACAGGTTAACGTTTTTGGGACAGGTTCATTCTAAAGCAAGTATATGCCCTACGTTTGAGTAAACTTGCATGGATGATACATCTAATGATGCAAACTAATTTATTTGCTTCGGATACTGGATCCGACATGTTCAAGATAATGGACCAAGTAAACGTTATGTATGCAGGCCTATCACCAAGAAACTATAAAGCCTATATTAGCCAAACTTGCGTAGATGATGCATCATGGGATGTAAATCTCAAACGTGCCTTAGATGCTGGATTAGAATTACATTTGCTTGATAGGTGACTGCTTTTAAGATTTTGGATAGTCTATTTCTAAGTAAATACAAGCCCTATCAGATCAAAATTGCATAAATGTTGCAATTTGGGATGTAAACTTCAAGAATGTTAGTTAATTGTAGGACTTTGCTTTGCTTAGAGACAACATTTCTTGAGGTGAGCTCTGTAATCTCTGATTACCTATGTTTATTCATCTTCAAGGGGAGATTAATAAAATTTGGTATCTTTAAAAGAACATAATTTTTTTCATTTTTATAACTACAAAGCTATATAATAATGATTTATGAAACGTCCCAATATTGTGTGGTTTTAAGGAAAACATAATAATAAATCAGGGTTTATATTGTATTAATTTTTTTTATTGGAATACACATGAATAAAGGGGATTAGAAAAAAAATCTTTGAAATAATACAGCTTTAGTTATTCATGTCAGCATTGGGCCCATAGACCTATTATATATTTTTTGTCAAGAATAAATGCAAAGAATTGTTATGTTGATATTTTTTTCCAGTCAGGAGACGTTTCAGATTGCTGTAACGTGTGTAACAGCTGTCATATTTGTCATAGTCCTACTGATATCAGTAATCTGTTTCTTGGGAAGGAGGCGGAAAAAGGGAAAACAAGGGCGTGGAAAACAAGAAAAAATTGAGATTGGTATGTTTATCAACTTTAATTTACTTTAAATACATTTGATTCTATATTCTCTTTCTAGCTTTAGATATATCTATTCAGTACCATTAAAAAGATGTTCTTAATGTTTTAATATGTTTACGCTTATAGTAAGCTTATGATAAGCACAGGTAGGCGTTGTGTTTCAAAATATTAAGGCTTTCAATGTAAAGATAGTGATTAAAAGTATTTAAGCTTTCAATGTATTGCTATGCTTAATAAAATATGGAGGTAATGAATGGAATTCAAACTCATACGTTCAAGGAAACAATACAGAAAACGAAAACATAGCAATCACGAACCTCTAAAAGATCAAGTGTGGAATCAGGTGAAGCATTCCTTCTCAATAAGTCAGACATACCGTGTCCTCTGTTCATCCTAGTCATGAATGGGCAAAAGCAATAACATCCATAGCAAACTCAGCATGTTAATAACGGACGTACTAAAACGTCACCTATAAGCTTTCAACTTAATTATAGATCGTATTTGCTGAAAAGGTCATTTTGATATCAATCATTGTAATTTTGTTTCGTCAATTTGTTTGTCAATAACTTAATCTCATTTCTAACATCGTTTGAATGAATGCGTATCGAATGAACTGGAATATATTATCCCCATATGAAGGTGATAAGGCCGGTATGTTGCTATGTGAAAAAGTTTAACAATAGCTTGATTGATAAACTGTTCGAGATTTTTGCAATAATATAGAGACGCCATTAAAAATTGAAGAACTTCAAATCTAGACCTTTACTCAGCACTCAGGCCATTGAACAGTTGGTTCTTTATCGTACCAATGCTTACCGTGACGTGGGGCCTCGGTTTTAAGGTCTTGTCAGAAAAACCCATCGTTTTCACTCTAAAGTGCCAAGTGCATATCAAAGGAACAGAAGCTATCATTTTTGATCGTCTTCGGTCGGTCGTGACCCGCAGCTGTGACTCAAACACACGAAATTTCGATCATAGAGTTTTGTTTTTATATTATCATTGAATTTTTTCTTGTAAAACATCAAACTTTGAAGTAGACGTGTAAGACTCTTTGGCATCTTTTACTTCAAGCTTACTGGTACATATCAAAGCGACATGGAAGGATTTTTATTAGTGATACCCCGTCGGTATGATTTAATGTTGTGTTGAAGAGTTTTCTTCTTCCCATATATGTTTCTGAATAAATTCAGCTTCATAAAATATACGGAGATAAGGAACTGTATTTTAGCATTCAAACAATACAGATCAGAAGCAGAGGAAAACACGGACTTCTAAAACATAAGAAATGGGATCAGGTGCCATGGAGGTGTGAACATTTTTTGACAACCGGGCACAACCACCATGTGCTCTTTGTCATGATCGAGAAATAATGAAGAAATCAGTGTGTAAATAATGGTCTAACTTTGTTTCATCTACTATAAATACAAAATAGGTCTTTCAAGAAAGGAACGCAACTCGGGTATCAATGGGAACTCCCACAGGTTGTTTGAAAACATGTTTTTCAAACAATTACAAGATATTGTTAATCGAAACATTCCAGCATCTTATATCAACTTCAGAGTACTTATGCGTATGATTTGAATGTTTTTAACAAAATTATTTTGCAAATGACCATTGTTTTTCTGCATTTCAAAGATGAAGATGAAGAAACACGGGAGAAGTTGATGCAGGGTAGGTAGAAAACTCGTACTATCTAAATATTTATATAACCGCTTGTCATGCGTAATTGTAATTTAAATGTTTTCACGAGGTTTAAATCCTCCAAAATGTTTTTTGAATAAGAGATAAAAATAATTTTCCTATTATCAAGCTGCAGATCTGTAGCTCTCCGAAAAAAATTATTGATAGACCGGAGAGCTACAGAGCCACCCATTGAAAAAACTGTATATTTATTGCGCACAAAAAATGCGCTCGGTTCTCGATTTATTTCTCCATGTTTTTAAAGCTGTAATCTGAAAATACTACTAACCTATTCTTTGACTCTTTCCACAACAAAACATTCCTCATAATTGTTGTTAATAGTCCTCCTGGCCCTGATATTGCAATCATCGGACATTTCGCTTATTTATACTGCCATTTTGGTTTCAAAGATAATTCGGTCCAATATGCTTCGTTCAGATGTCAACTACGAGAGAACTTGATACAGGAGCAGAGTTTCCGAAAACCAAATATTTCTATCAGTCATTCGGACTGATAACTTAATGCGTTCTACCGGTCCGAAGCATATTCTATCAGTCCGAATAAGTTTTAGAATATACAGTGTATATTTCTTAATTATGATCAGATGTAATTTAAAAAAAAAATGGTATTGAATATGTAAAAATTTCCATGGCTCACCAACACTGATTGTGATACCAGGGTTATGTAACTTATAAATAATTCAAGCATGGCAACAGCCCACACAGGTTTGTGGCAGCTTATCAGCCCCAAGTAAATGTTGGGGGAAAGAAACACCTAATTATTTAAAAAAAAGTAAATTCTTGAAAAAGAAAATTTCTTAAGTTTTCTAGAATTTTTTTTAAAATTAAAAGTTTAATTCTCACTTGTAAAATTGAATTATGTATAAATAGCAGTTGTGATAGAAATTCAAAAGAAAAATAAATTTTAAATTATCTAAAGTTACGTTTTCTCAGTCGACATTGCACTTCATGACCTATATATTGCACGTGTTTACCATTAACAGAGGAATGGAGGAAATTCGGATTAGGAAAAAACGATCGTTTTTAGAAGTAAACAAGTCAAGTAGAACTGAAAAATGGATAAGATTATGGATATTTACGAAGAATAGGAGCATACTGAAATGAAAATTTTCATTTATGAAGGCATTGCAATAGATTAGAGTACAATAAATTAATCAGGACAAGCCCTCACCACAATCTGACAATCGGTCACACGGACCGGTACTATAGCGAATTTCATCGGACATTTCGATTTTCTATCGGTTTTGCCGGTAGGACCGATAGTTTTCGGAAACTCTGCAGGAGAGAGTAATTTTTTTGAAATCTTCCATTTTTTGCAATTGAGGTAAGAATTTGGAAAAATTATTCAAGAATCGAGTGCACTTTTTTGTGCGCAATAAATATACAGTTTTTTCAATGAGGTGGCACTGTAGCTCTCCGGTCTATCAATATTTATTTTTTCGGAGAGCTACAGATCTGCAGTTACCTATTATCAAGCAGGAATTCTCTGTGGACTTTAGTCAGTACTTATAGTTAATCTTTTTCACCCAGCGTTGTCTGAGCATCACTCGAAAGATGAAAAGTTTGAATTTTATTCAACCTGCTTTCTTGGGCCCGACGGATGGAGTTTGAATACGAAAAAAAATGTTTTATTGAATTGTTTTTCTATACTCCTGGACATCAAACCGTCCAACTGTTGGCATGATTGAACCTTCTTCCAATGTTCATTGCCACTGAATTCTAGAATTAAAATAGGCTTTGTGTAAAATCATGATTTGAACTCAAAAGAAATTCATAATTGATTAAAAGCATTTTAAAATGTTCTTAAATATGAAATCTGTATTTTGAACTTTTTCCCTGTGTACATGATTTTTTTTTCAAAACTGCATTGTGTCGAACATAGGATAAAAACATGGGTAGTGACTGCTCCTTCGCCAAACCTGAAAGAAGGTGTTGCAGAAACTCGCGATTATTCCCTATATATCGAGAAGGACATTTAAATACCCTCGTTATGTCTAAATGTCTAAATATAGATAAAGTTACGTAGAGGACTATGTTTACGGAGGGTATTTCCTGTTTGATACAGCAAAACACGTTCGTCATTTTGCAACAACAAAAAACACAATGGCTAAAGCAGCATTTTGAAAGATATACTGGAGACATCGTGCGAAAATATTTTTTAATTAAATAAAACTGCGTCCCATAATCACATTGTTGGTGCTACATCCAAGACATTTGTTTCAAATCAAATCTCTGCTACTAACTAACAGACCAAAATTGCAATAACTGCAGTATGTAAAAAATATATATATATTATTTAAACAATACAGTAACTTTATTTTCCAAGACAAAACTAAATAAAGCATTAGTCTTAAGTCACAGCATATCAAGGGAAACAATTAAATCCTGCATTTCTAATACAGTAAATAGATTAGTTATTACTTAATTAACTTCTTGACATTCATCACCTCTCTTTCAAAATATTTATAATTTCATTGCACTACCATTACAAAAAAAAAAAAATATTCAAACATGATCCATACCAGGATTCGAACCCATTCTCTGGTAAAAGTACTACATGGAAGCCCACCAGCATATCCACAAGACCATTTCGGACACGATGGTTTCACAGTGTTATTTAAAGTACACATTTTGCATTTCGTTTGAAGAATAATTTTTATTCAATTTTTGCGTTTTTCAAAAATGTGCCTTTTTGAAACAAAAATCGGAAATGGCAGTTTTGAAGAAAATTCTTGCCTCTTTGTGTATATATCAAAATTATTTTGTTTCAAGGAGGCACTTTTTCAGAACAATGGGGATTCCCTATATAAAAAACAGAAAATCTGATATATTTTGCCGTAAGACTAATTTTCACATCATTTAATGGCAAATTGGAAGTCAATACACACCTTCCAAATATTGTTTCTCGTTGTGCTTTATATATTGTTGCATTTGAAAAAAATTAATATGAGTTTCTGCAACATAAAAATTCTTCTTTTAATCTGCTACACATTTAGGGAAAATAACAAAAGAACTGCAACACCCTCTTTCAGCACATTCATTGTTAAAGTGTTTAGGCGTACCATTTATGGGATTCTTTTTTTTTTATTTCCTGTTTGTCAGAGCAAGAGTCTTACTGGTAAGCATTTACTCACAAATTTCTTGTTTTTTTTACATATACAGGTGATAAAAAAAACATCGAAGGAAATAATGTCACCTTGACACCGTCACCTTGCCTGGAATTAAAAACTTCAAAATTTAAGAAAAAAGAAGATGCAATAAAAAATACCGACAGTGCGTATTAGTTATTAAGATCCATTCTAAGCATCAAATAATCTAAATGTTGGAAATAGTAAATCACACATTGAGTTGATATTTTGCTTATTACATGTATGTAAAACATAAATTTAGATTAAATGAGATATTCGAGTACTTGTTGTCATCATGATGGTAAGCGACACCACCCCAGACAATTTTTAGATCCAAAAATATGGAGTGACCTGTTGTAATTATACCAACATCATTGTAAAGGATGGCTTCATTTTAGTAGGCATTTTATAAACATGAAAGCAGTGAAAATGCTGTTTTCCTTTTTATTGCATCAGAATTTGTATGTTGTGGAAGAAATTCTGCCATGTATATCCCAACTTATACCCTCCCCTTAAAGACAATATTAAGTTCATCAGATTTTGCCATAAACGTTAAAAAAGCTCCAAGTAGTTTTGATATTAAATTTTTCAAATCATGGAATTGGATGCGACCACAATATACCAGATTAAAGTTTAATATCAATTCTCTGTAATTATCAAAATTGGTTGGCCACGCATAGAAAAACATTTTGATTTTTTTATAATAATTTCAAACAGCTATGTCATTAATTGTAAAATCTAAAGTGGGTTTATGAAATAGAACCTTGGTTGCCATAGAAACGGGGTGCAAAATTCTCAATTTCGTTAATTTTGAAAAACGTGTACTTATCAAGAAAAACTGTGTCCAGAAATGAAAAGGGATAACTTAATATGTTTTCATTATTTAAATTTAATACTACAGATTCAAGTAATTATATCTGTAGTTTTAATTTAATCTCTCAATAGTAAATGGCCATTTTACATATTATAACATATCAGATATGTGATTGGTTTAGTGGAGTTTTTGGAGGCTTAAAACAAATAAGGCACACTGATTACAAATTTAGTAATCATTAATTATGAAAGGCTGATATTTGATTATATCAAAATATGTAAAATATTAGTGGGAGACTCAAAGATGTAAAAGGAATTCAAAGGTAAAGATTACTTTTTTCTACATTTTGAAGCATTTTTTGCTTCCTAATTACTTCCCTTGAACTACTCTCTAACGTTTGGAGGTACAATGTGTATTTAGTAAACAGCAATGAACATTTCTGGCGAAAGATCTCATCAAAGTTTTACAGTTTGGAAGAAGAAAAGAAGGCTAGACATCTTAAACAATGAAGACAGAAGGTAAATTCATGTATATACTGAGCATTGCAAAAATATCAAGATTAACAAATGCATATTTGCCTTACAATACACAGTTGTTTTACCGGTAGTGGTCCTTATCAAATCAAGCGAACTATACCTTTTGACAGTTTGACTTTCTGACCAATGAATTAATTATTTTTATTGATAAAAATGAATTTGAAGCATACAAACATCACTTGCTGATACAGCTGACCCCCCCCCCTTCCCCGAAATATAAATGTCTATATAGAGATTGTATAAAATCTGTGCCATTCAGTATTATGTTCAGTAGGTTTACTTTTTATGATGTGCTGAGAGAGACTTTTAAGTGAGCATTATTTATCTTTATAATATAAATTTCCACCTCTGTCAGTTTTCAGTCAGTTATCCTATTATTTCAATTCTTTATTGGCATTAGGCATATATTTTACAGAATTGTGTTGTTAAAATATTTAACTAGAGCAAGTTTGTTTCTATAAAAAAAAGTGCATCAAAGGTTTATAATGTGTGAGCACAAGCATAAAGTAGCTAGTAAGTTTTTTAAAATAGTATTCTATATATCAGCAAAATATGGTCATGTGATGTTCATAAGCAGAAAATAGGAAAACAGCATGTTTTGTTTTGATGTCATTATTTTATTTAATAGCTTCTATATTTTAAACTTTAAATTTATTATATGTATATCCAAAACTGTACTATATGTATTGACAAAATAGATCTAGGTTAAGAATGCACTGGAAATATTGAGTTATTTTTGTTTATATAGACTCTTTTATTTGCCTGTGAAGTACCGGTACTGTATAATCTATAGTTCAATTTTGTGTGAATAATAATAATCTTTTCAAATAGCATATTTGTTTTATACACACTGACCATGTTTTATAATATTCTAAACAAATTATTTGATACTCAGGCAAATATTCACTACTGGTAAGATGATCACACACATGAACATGTCTGTGTATGAATGAACTGAATTTTGCTTTTGATCATGTTCCTAGGAAAATAATTATTTTCATCATTTTTTCATCAAAGGATTTACCATATAAGATGAATAAAGAAAAGGTAAGACCAGTAAACCAAAACAGGACCAAATAGGCCATGACTGAAGTTCAAGTGCATTCTGCAAGAAAGTGGACAGCCTAGATTTTGTTCTTTTCAAGGTAACCATTCTTAAAATATGAAAGTAAATTAAGGACAGATGATACAAACAAAAAATGGATGCCTGGATTGGTATATATTTTTTGGCATAATTTAATTGCAAATTAATGATGCTATAAATAAATTTCTAGAATATTAAGAAATTGTACACCTTCTGTGATATTCAAAAGTCTGCCCTCTTGAAACTATGCTTATTAATCTATACAAATATTTTTCACTTCAAATTCCATTTTTATGCAAATATGAATTAAAAATTAAAAAGTACTCGAAGAAAGTTATTAATTTTACTGATTTAAACATGACCCCAGTTGTTATTTTCAAATTCTTTGACAAAAGTTTGTTTGTATCATCTCTCCTTAAATTGTTAAAAAATATATTTCAGTTTTATATCTAAATTTAAACCTTGCATATTTCTTTTTTTTTTTTAAACAAAATTTAATACCTATCCAGTAACAGAAGAATTATTATACATGTACTAGAATAAAGAAAACAACTTTCTAAAGGATTACATACACATTTAATTAGCTTGAAATCAGTGTATATTGGAAAGTGCAGGAATTATTTACCATTGCAGGTTGAGAAGGGATGCCATATTTTAGGTTTGAAACCAGGCAAGTGAAAGCTGAATTCCAACCTACTCCAACATACTTGTACCCACTGTCTTCAAGATATCGGTGTTTGAGATGTCAAAGTTCAAATATACCGTAATAGGAACATGTTTATCATATTATGTGATGGCATCCTCAAATCTTATGCTGTATAACAATATGTTTTAGAACTTATCAAGCTTTATCCAGTACCTTGCCAAAAAACTCAACTCAGCATAATTCTCATTAACTAATTATCAGTGTTGTCAATGTAGGTCATTACTGGTACATGCCTGACCAACAAAAACTCTAAAATTGAAAAATCAGAGACAAGATTTTCAGAGCAGCAGAAACAGTAGAATTTGTCACGTAATTCTAATGATATGTACTGTAGTTGAGAATACATGTACTCTAAATGTTGCATATATAAAAAATAAAAAAAGCGAAAAGTTCTCTTGTTTTCAGAATTTATATTTACATGTGAAAAAAAAGAAAGGAGATTGATATAGTTGGTGTGATGAGATGTTGGCAGGAACCTAGTAAAATGAAAGGAAGAACTTCCTTAAAATGATACTTGTGGGGGACAGTGTCTCATGGTGGGGGGGGGGGGGCATTGTTTCAACTGACTTTACAGAATACAAAAGATCCATTGCACACCTAATTGTTGATTATATGCCAAACACTATGTTTAAAGTTTTCCATTGTTGGATATTTATACCCCCCGCAAATGAAGTTTGGGGGGGTATATAGGAATCACCTTGTCCGTCTGTCTGTCTAGCTGTCCGTCCGTCCGTCTGTCTGTGCAAACATGTCTGGTCCATATCTTTCTTATGGAGGGACATTAAAATCTACTACTCCATACAAAGATTGCCCATGATCTAAGGGTGTGTCATGACCTTGACCCAAGGTCATTTGGGGAACTTCAAGGTCACTGGAAGAAAAATTTTATAATTTGTGTCCGGTCCTTATCTTTCTTATGGATAAACTTGGTAGGTTCTCATTTCACACAGAGATTGCCTATGACGTTAGGGTGTGTCATGACCTTGACGCAAGGTCATTTGGGGAAGTTTAAGATCACCAGGAGAAAAATTTCATAATGTGTGATACACATTTTTATCATGGAAAAACTTACTTTTGAAAAACCCAGCGGGGGTATTTTGTCCCGTTTGGACAGTTCTAGTTATGTTTAAATCCAAGATAACTTACCGAAGAGGATGTGATTTTTTTTAAACCAATATAATTTTTCTCAAGTTTAAAGCCGTGTTTCATAAGTTTTAAAAGAAAAAATCAGAAGGGGGGGGGGTAAATTTTTTACTTCATTCAAAGTATCTGTGGTTTGCAGTTGCCCATGAATTAAATAAAAAATTATACAAAGTAACAAGTTGAAATGAGTAAAATATTATGAATGTCCTGCTTGTTTTAGTTTCATTTCAGAATTTTTCAAGTTTGGCCAAATCTTGAAAAGGTAAAAGCCACAAGGTTTTGCAATTATTTGACATAGCATTACAAAATGCATTATATTTTTGCAACATCATAAAGATGCAAATTTAAGATGCCAAAAAATTTAGTTCACATTCACATTTAACTCATTACACAGGTTTTATAAAAGAGTAAATAAGTGTAGTTTTGGGAATATTGTTACGTTAAACGCAGCCATTTTGGTTAAAAATCTGGTATTCCTGTCTCCATGGTAACAAATCTTGCATTCCTGTTTCCATAGTAATAGAGAATGGATAGGGAAAATTTTATTTCATATTAGTTTCAATCTAGGGGGATAGTTTCAGGAAACTTGAAACATGCCCTGGTTAGTCTACATGTACTTCAAAATTGTCAATTTTACAGAAAGGGGGGGGGGCATTTTGTGCAGGTGTTCACAGTTCTCCTATCTAAGAACAGATTTACATGTATTAATGCTCTTGGAAATGAGATGTGAATATTCTTACATGACACCTCTCCTAGATATGGACTAATTTTACTGTAAATGACATCAAAACAGGTAGAAAGGAACGTTTCTTTTCTATATGAACTTAATGAAATGTGCATATGTTCCTTGAAATTCGGAAATTTTGCAGATTTTTGGGTAATTTTTCATCAGCTTTTTAAAAAAAATATTTAAGTGTCCCAAAAATATTTTAATGTGTTTAAACTAACTTATGTACCATCTATACAATGCACTGTTTCCTGAATTTCAAATCAGTGTGCAAAGTATTAAAAAATCGCTTTGAAAAAGGGTCTAAAATGGTAATTTTCTCAATTTGGCAAAATGCCAAAATCCCCAAAGCTAAGCGTTGTTAAGCCATTATGTAGAATTACAGTTTTTAAAAAATTATGTTGTTATACTAGAGAGGAATAATGGTAGTTTTGAAACAAACGTAGATTTTCCCATTCTCTTGTTTCTTTTAAGCTCATTTTTATTCAGTAAAACCTACAAAATCACGTTTTTTGGTCAAATTTTAGGAAGAATTTACAGGGGAAACAATAGGTGCTGTTACCATGGCAACAAGACATTTTTCGAAATAAAAAAATATAAAACCATTAATGATGTGTCAATGTGAGTACACACAAAAAGTTTCATAGAAATTGAAAATGTAGCGTGGCCAAGCATTTTTGATATTGTTTGATAATTACAGAGAATTGATATTAATATGTAAATATATAATATATATATATATATATATATATATATATATATATATATATATATATATATATATATATATAAAAATAAAGAATCTTTAAAAAGATTTTCTAGGACCTTTGAGCGTAAAGAGATGAAAATTGTGTGAAAACTTCCTGAGGTAGTGTTGTTTCTAAATTATTGAAGACATTGCCCATGGAGATTGTTAGGGCCACAATAGATGTAGATGATCAAAATTTGGCATTGAAATACTTAAGAAAAAGGTCTTCTCTTGTAAGGTAATAAGATGAGCGTTGTAACCCATGAGTCATTATTTATTTGGTATACAGTGTATATCTAATTATGAATTTTTATTCCAGCTGATGAGACAAACAAAAAGATTCTAGATGATACAGATACATGTACTGTAAATAAAACTGGAGTGGCATCATCACAGGAAACAAAAGAAAAATTCGTTGCTACTGTTGACATTCACACTGGTGAATCTTAATATCATCTCTCTCTCTCTCTCTCTCTGTCTGTCTCTCTCTCTGGTAAGGTCATTAAAGATCGCCAGTTTTCGCGTGTTTGTTTACCAGTTTCCATTGCGACTGCTCAGTATATTGCCAAATATTAAGCAAATGCCTTTAAATTTTCAAAAAGACGACACAAAAGAAATTTAATTCAAAAAGGGATAGTTTTTACTTTTAAATTAATCTTATCTATTAATTACTTTTATTTCGAAATAATACCGTGTTCTTTTATGGTTCTGTACAGGTCTTTTTTAACATGCGCCAAAAAAACGTACCCTCTACACATTCAAGCTTTGAAAAAAAAACATTTTCTCTATAGAATTTTATCAACAAAAAAGGTGCTCAAAAAATGATAAATAAACGTTTACGAAAAATGTCAGCTTAGTGCGTCCATTATTTTCCGAGAAAATCTCTTTGTCCACAATTTTCCTGGACAACCCTTATATTTTAAAAGTTTATCTCTTTTGATTTTCATTTATTGTAAAATTTGGTGATAAAACAAAAAGAATTTGTTTATTTGTCTTTCTCCTCCTTTGCAATATTGATCTGGTTTGATTTCAGAGGGAAGAAAGGAACAGAATGCTGCATCATCTTCAATATATTCAAATTTTCAGTGGGCAGGTACTCTTTTTTCTCTTTAGATCTGTTTTTTAAGGTAGGTTGCGAGTTTACTGCATACACATTCTTGCGAGAAAACATATCCTGAAATTTGGATATAATTTTTATTAGAATTTGAAGCTTTTAAACATAGCACTTTCGTGAAATACATTATACAAGGCAGTGATTTTAACCTCGCTGCTCCTGCATAACCTGTGAATTATATTTCGTGCGAAAAATGACAAAAGGGCAGGAATTTTGACAATTTCGTTAAATCACATCATATTGTTTTATCAATACCATATCACAACTTCGTTCTGGTACAAGGAAAATTTACCAAAAAACTGTGATCAGTGTAATAATGAATTTTTTGCATGCAGACTCGGAGATTTAAATAATTTTGGATCAGACAAAATTTTTTTTGTTTATAATAAGAGATGCTTTAACTTACCGGGTATTTCAAAATAATTTAACTTTGTGTGTATTCTTGTCTCTCACTGGTCGATTTCCAAAAAGGAACGCAAATTATTTTCTATTATCTGGTTTGGTATGGGGACACACCCCTTTGACAACCAATTTAATCATCTGTATTCAAGCAATTCCCTCATTTCTAGCCCTCGGGAGTCAAGGAAAATTCCAGATTTAATACATGTACCTTCAACTTCAAACAGTAGCTTGATCTTTCCTCATGTAAACAAACATCATGGCTGCTAGGTCTGTGTATCAGTTATTACCTCCCCTCCTTTCTTATCACTTTCGTTACTACAGTTGTATTATTGAGCGGGAAATTTGAACTCGTAAAAAGCAGCACAATTTTACATCCACAGTTGTTTAATTATTTTGAAATTAAATTATAAGGAATGACGCTAATTCTTGGCCAAATAATTCGAGTATAACCAGATTTGGGTCAGTTTACTCTTTTTATAAAGCGTTAACTGACACAAACCAGGTTATACTCGAATAATTTGGCCAAATAATTCGAGTATATTCTGGTTTGGGTCAGTTAACGCTTTTTATAAACTAGGTTATACTCGAATTATTTGGCCAAGAATTAGAGCCATTCCTTAAATAATTCACATATTTTTTCCAGCATCACTTGGTGCAACGTCTGCAAAGATAATACAACCTACTGGACGGCACATCGAAGTGAATTTTAAAGATACGATCATTTTACTGGCAGAAATAAAAAGTATTGTTGAGGTTGAACATGTTGTTTGGCAAAAAAGAAAAGAAAATGATGATTGGGAAAATCTCAATATATTAGATGAAAAATACAAAGGAAGCCGAGCTGACTTATATGTTCCCTGTTTAATTATTCATAACTGTGGGAGCGAAGTCTCTGGTGATTATCGCCTTTTTGTGGAGACCAGCGAAAAATCTGTAACAAGCCGCGAGCGATCCATTTCTGTGTTTACAGGTATTAATTAAATAGACTCCAATAATCTATCAAAAGCTCAAAACTGAAAGCAAACAATGAGAACTACTGGGCCAGAAAAACTGAAACTTATGTGGAAGCATCCTGGGGTGGTGTAGATTCTATCTTGTAAACATCATGGCCCGAGAGGCTGGGTGGGGCCACAATAGGGAATCAGATTTTTCCATTGAAATGTATAGGAAAAATCTTTAAAAATCTTCTCAAAATCCACTGAGCCAGAAAAGCTTAGACATATGTACGCATCCTGGGTAGTGTTAATTAGGGCCCCGCA